ATGCAGGAGAACTTCGGGTGCTCCGTCGCCAATCGCTTCTACCAGCTCCTGGACGACGAGTCGGACCCTTTCGACGTCCTGCGCGACGCCGAGCGCCGCCAGCAGCAGAAGAAGAAGCGTGACGAGGCGGCGGCCGCTGCCAGGAGAGCCGTGCCCGGCGGGCGGGCGGGCGGCGGCAAGAGGGACGCCCCTAAGGAACGCAAGCAGCCGGAGGTCTCCCCTGGACTCTCCCCTGCGGCCCCGCCGCAGCCAGGTACGCGGGCAGCGCCTCGGCGGGGGTTTTGGGAAGCCAGGTACGGCGGGACCAGCGGCCGGCTTTGGGATGGAGGTTTCCCGGCGCTGCTGTGCCCGGTGCGGGCTCTGCGGCGCGGCGTGGGTGGCCGTGGGCTCCGCGCTTCACCGACCCCTTGGCAGCCGTGGCGGGGCGGGGGTAACGCTGTCATAGCCGGGCTGAAAAAACCCGGTTCCTGTTGTCCAACAACCCCGGTTCCTGTGGTTGTCGTGGTGAACGCACCTTAAAGTCCTCTCAGAGAAAGCAGTGACACTTGGACACGGTCCCCACACGACGTTGCGGAGCGCTCTCATGCGAGAAGGCCTTTGAATATGTAAACGAAAACTTCAGCAATATCCCCAAGAGATAAGTGCAAGAGCTTTAAGTACCACGCCACGGCATCTGCAGCTTTCATGCTGGTTTAGCAGTCCTGTTGCTGCCTTTCATTACTTGTCACACTGGACCGTATACGTCAGTGTCTGAAGTTTCCAGGCATGATTTCTCGGTACCTGTGAGCTTTCTGGCCATTCAGGGCCTTCAGAGTTCTAACTTCTCCAGAAATCTATCTATTTTGCCTTGAGCTTGCATTGGTGGACCAGCCTTTGAATAAAACCTTATTTTCTGGGGTAACTCTTCAGCACGGTGTTCAGGAATGGTCAGCAGCTAGGTTTTGATGTGTGGTGTTGCTTGGGGAAAGAGGGAGTCGGTTGGCTTTTGTCTTGTTGGCTTGAAATGTCTGTGACAGTCCTCTTCGCAGTTGGAGGCTTTGTGGGTTATACCTCCTTGCATTTGGAGCTGATTGTTACTATTTACCTGGTATTGAACTTCAGGTTGCTGGATTCAATATCTAAAGTATCTGAGAACTGGTGGATTGTTTCCAAATATTGAGAATATCTAGAGAAGATTCTGGTTTTACCCTCTTGAGTTGTAGATTCCCATTCTTCTGCAGGAAGCAATGAAGCCTAACACATAATCTATTATTAAAATATTTTCTTCTGGTAGTAAAAGCTCCTGTTAAACTGACAGTAATTGTTCAGTGTGTTTTAATGCCCTAGAAAAAGGCCTGTGAACTGGTGTTGTTGCTCCATCAAGTCGATGCCAGTGCTACCGATTATATTGCTTAGGCTTACAAGTCTTACACTCTTCCTAATAGCAGTTAGTTGATGTATTTGTAGCAGTTTGTGGAGCAGAGAATCTGTCAATGCTAAATATGTGCTGGATAATGAGCACCTTTGTAGAGGAAGGTATCAACAAGTTGTCACTGTCTTTTTGGGCAGCTATATGAAACTAGTCTTTTTGATGTTTTTCTGCAATTATGTGACTTTATCCCCTAAGACCAGTACTCAGACTATAACAGTTTATTTTATTTAAAGGTTACTTTACTGTGGTTGTCAACAGAAGTTGAAGGAGTCTGTTCAGTGAACAGAAAAGTCTCATTCTTTGTTCTGATGAAAGAGTTCTTGAACAGGAACTGGTTGTTATCAGTAACTTACCAGGAGCATGGTGGTGTGTGAAGACCATCCTTTACCTCTTGCCTGCCTATAGGTGTCTTAATTCTTGGCAATACACAGTGGCCTTGTGGAGTGTCTTGACTACTCTAACCTTGGTGTTAAGAAAACTTTTTTCTCATACAGAGACAACAGGCATGTGCACCTTTTTTTCAATTTCCTGCTAACTTAAAATGGAGAAAAGACTGCAGACTATAGTATCCTTAGTGAAAGGGCATTAAGATCTATTTTAAGAAGAGTTTCTCTTCTATATTTAAAAATGCACTTTCTTCTTGAAACATAGCATCTGTTCTGGATTTTGTTTGTCTTGAGCTTGTTAGGAAGTAAGGATTACAAAAGTACAGTGCTAAACCAGTGTGGATAGTCAAGACTTGGTCCTGACTGTGTGTTCCTCCTTTGAATGTTCTGTCTTAGCAAGTCTGCTTTGAATTGCAGAGAACCCTCTGAGTCAGGGTAAATACACAAATGATGGTGTAGCTGACAAATGTTAAGCAAGTGGCATGTTCAGAGAAAAATCTTGCTGTTTTTTGGAAGGGAGGGGGTCAGCTCTTTATATGGGCCATACAAAAGTTGGTTTGTTACACAGGGTTCAGCCAGGAAACTTCTGGATTTTATAAAAGATTTAGGGCTCTATCAATTTAACAGTTCATAATGACTAGTCTCTGGGGAACATCCTTGTACTCCCACAGTTTGGCACGAAGTTTCTAATAACAGATGCATTGCTAGAGGAGTGCAACTCTGTTATGGGAAATAATTAAGCTTGATTAAAATGACTAAATTGTTAAACTAAGTGCTAAACTTTTAATAAAAAAAATAAAACAACACACCAGACTTAAGACTTTGTTTCTAGACTTCCTTAGTGATTTTTTTTCTCTCTGATTTTGGGCATAACTACAGCTGACTTAATTATATTTATTAGCACAAAATAGCATCTAGACCCATCTGAACAGCAGAATCAGATTCTGGTGGTGTTACAGTTGAGATGATGGACCTGTATAGTAGTGTTTTTGGAATCATCTCATCACAGAGCAAGGTTCAAAGGCCATGTTGGAAGGGACCTCAAAGGATGCTCTGGTCCAACCTTTCCTAGGAAAAGCAGCCTTGAAGACCTCATCTGCTACCTTGTCCAGTTTCATTTTGAAAGCCTTCTTTGGTGGGGGCTTAACCCTGAGAAGGTTTTTTTTAGTGTAAGGTAATACCAGAAAGAAATTCTTAAAACAGATGAAATCTCTTCTTGCACAGCTTGTCCCCACTGTAGCCACTCACCTTCATGAGGATCCTTGTGAAGAGAGCCTTCATTATTGTAGCTTTCCAAGTACCTGGGGTACTATGATGTGGCTTATATAAAGCCTTGTCACAGGGGAAGAGATGTACTCCTTCAGCCTTTTCATATAAGACAGACTCACTAACCCTTTCATAACCTTTACAGCCTTCTTTTGGATATTCTGCAGCCTGATCCATCTTCATAACCCTCCTTTGGACTTTTGTTTTATCTAATTGTTAGGGTGTTTGTCTGTTTGGACTAGAAAAAGTCTTGTTAAGGTTAATGGTTTTTCTTTTATTCTAGTATTAATTCTTGAGCATATTGAATCTGTAAAACAGGGTCTTTAGAAAGAAGACTAGATGCACTTTGGGTCTATCTTGTTATATAAGAAGTTTTACAGTAGTTGGAGATTTTTTGTGGTATGATGTTTTGATGTTTGAGTGGAAGGTTTAGCCACAAAGTTCTGTGAGGTAGCTTTTTTTTTTTCTTTTATGTAGCTCTGCACTGAGTTTTTCAGAGCAGGTTTTACAAAATTTCTAGAGATATTTTCAATTTAAAGCAAACCTCCTGAGAGGACTTGGCCAGCTAATACAATATTTTGACCTTTAGAATCCAAACTATTATGAAATTACACAATTGTAAGGAGACAACTTTTTAAGCTTTGTTTTTTATGGAGAAAATGGACTCCTATTTCATTGTTTACCAAAACTATACTGTTGACCTTAAAGGTGTATTTTTTATCTTCTACTGATGGTTGTTTTGTGATTTTTAGACTGTATTAGCTGAGGATTTCAGTAAAGGCTGGTTGAAGGTATTACAGCTCTTGTAATTGTGCCACTTGATGTTAACTCGGTTCATTCTTACCACAGTGACCAAACTGCATTTGCCAGCTCTTTATTCAAAAGGCCTAGTTGCAGAGCTTGCATTCTTTACCAGGCCAGGAAAATTAAATTTGATGATCATGCAGTAATACTTTCTGTTCTTCTGAAAACTCTAAATTGTCATTGCTAATACTTCTAAAGGTTTTTTTTTTTCTTTCATGAAAAGAAGGTTTTCTGACTTTTATGACTCTCTATGATGACTCTGGTAACATTTATATATGGCTCCTGAATACTATGCTTTTGAATTTTTATGTGTAGTTTTAAAATGGCATGGAGAGTTGCTATGGAATTTTATCTTAGACTGACTGTAATTTTCTTATTTTTAAATAGTTTATCCTGCTAGCATGCTTTCAACTACAGTGTCATAAGGATTGTCTAGAGGAAAGTTGTGGTAGGCAATTCTGTAATTCAGTGAGTACTGGCACACATGAAAACAGAATGCCACAGGATAGAGTCTAACTCCATGTGTGTCCTGGGGTGACTTTATGATACTGGTATCCCCAATCGTCTGGTTTAATATATGTTATATATTAAGTTCTGCACCTTTAAGACTGGCTTTGAGAGCAAGAGAGGGGGAAGAAGAAGCGCGCAGTGTGTTAAGGAAAACATCACTCACACACATCCCGCTGCTGGACTGTGGTGTCTGCAGCACAGACAGACAGCGGGACAGAGCTTCTCTCTGGCTTTTAGTTAGTTTTAGCTAGCTGAGGCAGAAGAGTTCCCTGGACCTTTGTTTTTTTCCAATTTTCTTGAATCTGTGCAAGCCTGCTCTGGACTGAACACCCAGCCAAACCCCGGGAGCTCACGCCTGTGGCCCACCGGGGCCTGGGCCTCGGCATTTTCCAGCGCTGGAAGGACTGATAAAAACCTGAGTGAGCCGAGCTGCACCACATGAAAAAAGACTTTTCTTCCTGGATTTGCCATCCCATCGAACAGCAAGAAGTTTTCTTATTTAATATTACTCAATTTCTGTTAACTAAACAGCTTTTTTCCACTTCTCTCCACGGAATTTTTTTTCCTTTTCCCGGACCTGTTAGTAAAGAGAGGCATTTCCCTGTGGAGATCCCCATTTAAAGTTTTCCTTCCTGATTTGCCCTAAACTAAGACAAAGTGTCTCTTTGGTGTGTTGCTTGCAATAGCTGAAGCTTTTTTTTTTTTTGTATTTTGGGATACTTTTATTCTTCTGCAAATAATGTGATTAGCTGTGATTTAATTAATGAAATTAATTGTTTGAAGTTTGGTATTGGAATCACATGGGCACACACATTTATAGGTGATAAAGTGAAATTGCTTTTGGGGTCTTAATTCTTCTACACTCTGAAATAGAGC